CGTATGTGTGTGTAAAGTTTTAATTATGCCTCCACTGGTATAAAGACTAAATTATGACTAGCCTCTTTAAAACGTCTTTCTTGAGCTTTTAAAATTTTCATCATAACCAGCCAGTAAATTACATCATTAGTAAGAATTCCTGTCTCACTAGTTAGCACTTCTAGACTTTTAATAAATAGACGGAACACTGATCCTTGCAAGTAACTGCTGAGAAACTGCCTGGTTAACATCTGTCCATAGTGAAAATTGGGTATTTACACTTTGCGGCCTTTCCATTCAAAAGCCTCAATGTTGATGTTGTCACCTTACCTTTGTACCAAGTTCTCCACTGTACTTCTTTTTTTTAATTATGAATTTGCTACATGTATAGCTGGACAGTGACTGAAGTTTTCAACAGGAGACTGAACTTAAGTTTCTAAACCTTTTTTAAGGACGAAAAGGCATTTTTTCCAAAAGCACCTAGTGACTTTACACTTCAGAAAATCCCAAACATAGAAGCCTAAAAAGTGAGGTTCACTTCAGCCAGTTCTTTAAAAATATTCTCACAGATTGAGAAAGTGAATGTAAGATCTGTTATGATGCCAGTTTATCACAAGTCAAAGAAGTCAGGTGACCTACCTAATGTTTTCCAGGGCACTCGTTATCTGCTGTTGCACAATATCGTACAGTATCACTTTGAAGCCTCCTGAAGCAAACACCATCGCCCAGCTGCGGCCAATAAGTCCGCTAAAAAGGAAATAAAATAAGTTTATTTGTATAATGGCAAAGTTCACTTCTGGACCATCAGATGATTTGATTTCAGTGGGAAAAGTCAACACTTATTTGGAAAAAGGGTATGTTAAAGTAAAGGAAAAATGTTGATATGCCACCATAAGCGGCCATAAGATAAACTATCAGGAATGAACACATCTTTGTAAATGGTTAACTGTTGCTGCACAGATAATAAAGGAAGATTTGTTGTTTTTTAATTTTGGGCTGTGGCTGGGGTGTGAAGGGAGAGTGGAAAAATTGTTGGCAATTTAAAAAATTTAAGGTAGGCTCTAAAGAATGTAATAAGTCATTAAAAACATAGGCTTCAGTTCTGAGATGCACCTCCTAAGTAGTGTGTGGTACTGCATGGGGAGGAGCAAAGTTAGGATTTAACTACAGTCTGGGTCCACCATCAGGCACTAGTTAAAGCAGTTTATTAACACACAGTCCTCAAGCATCTCCCATGCCAGAGACTATGCAGGATTTATTCATCAACAGTTTTTTGGCAAGCTGCATGTTGCAAGCTATGACACAACAGTGCAGAAGATAGGAGAAAACCACAATAAAAACAGCTCATATTTCTATAGTACCTTCTCTCCCAGGACCTCGGAGTGATGCAGAGACACTAATGAAATACATTTCACAATACATATTAATCTCCTTGGCAAAAGGAAAACCTGAAGTTTAAAATGGTAAGGTTAAGCAACTTGACCAAGATTACATAGGATGTCCATGATAAAATCCAAGGAGCCTCACCTCCAGTTATGTGCTTTTAAATTATCCCACTTGTTTCATCTCCTTGTCAAACGATTAACTATTCTCCTATTTTCTTTTAAGGTGCATAAGTGCCATAGCTTTGTATGTTTCAGTCTAGGAGACTACATGATCAATACAGAAAGAAAACACTGGGAATAAAAGTGAGAACAGGCAATAGGCCAAAGAGAAGAGGAAGGGAAGGGAAAAAATACAAAACAGGAAAGAGATATTGCTCCAACCTTGAGTTAAAAACTAGAATAGGAAGTTTTTTCAAGGAATCAGTGGAATTGGAACAAAAATAGAGTGCAATTTCATGATTCATGTTACAGAGTAAGCTCTTCCCTCCTCTCCTCGCTCTGAAGAACTAGACGTGATACTGTTAAGAGAAGGCAGAAATAAACACGGGTCTCACCACAGGCAGATTACCAAACACATGCAGATAATGTATCAGACGCATGGCCAAGCTTTGTACTTTTGTAGCCATGGTGCCCTCTCTAATTAGTGACCCCTATTTTAAGCGTTTCTTAAACCAGATGCAGTTAAGAAAGTGACACTTTGTCATAAAGACTCTCCCAGAAAGTCTGAATAGTTTTGGGGGCGGGAATTTTGGGGGGATAGGTGGGACTATGCACACTTTTTGCTATATACCACCTTAAAGAAATGCAAGGTATTTGAATATGCTCTTTTTGAATTGAGATGGGTTTCCCTGTCAATATGAAAAGTTTACTTTCAGAAGACAGTAGAAAAAATAATTCAAATGGCAAGTTTCTGGTTCATAACTCCTTTGCATTACAATACTTTCAATATAATGAGAAATAAATATAGCACATAGTTCTGAAAATAGGTTCCCCCTCCTTTTTTAAAAATCAAGTTTACAGTAGGCAGTCAGGCTAACTGTGTACTTTTTTTTTTACTGTCTCCATTTCATGCACTGGATAGCACACTTCAAGGAAAGTCTAGTGAAATGTCAACACACTGCTCCAGAGACACAAGAGTTTAGCCTTCATTTCAGGTATCTGGGCTGTGCCACACACCCTTACAACATTCCCACTTTGTTGTAAGCCTCCCTGTACACTTTGCATAGCATACACACAGGAAAATCTTCAGCTTGCCAAATGGCAAATACTGGGGAACTGAGTGCCACCAGTAACTGCTAGCTTTGCCACTGTCACAACAGCATAAAAAAAATGCCTGAAGACCTCTGATGGTCTCTCAGGAGGCACACGGCAGAGGACCGTAACAGTTGTGCCTTCACCACTCCTACTCCAAGCCACTGATGGTCAGAAAATAACTGTAGGAAAAAACAAACAACAAATACCTCATACTTTATGAAAAGTTTCAGCTTTACCTTCAAAAACACAACAAAATGCAACCCAGAAATGCTACACATTTGCACCTTGTTCCTGGCAATCACACTTCTAAGTTCCCCTGTGCGCTTTGGGGACATCACTGCTCTGGCTTTTCACTCCCTCTTAGCACAGATCTGTTTCACAACCAGCGACCACCCAAGACAACGAGGACCCACTCCCATACCCATGCAGCGGCTTGCTAAAAGTAAAAGCCATGCTGGGCTGCACAAAGGAAGGGGATCCAAAGACCCATGGCAAGTCAGGCAGGTTACAAGCAAGCAGAAGGGCTGGCAGCTGCAGAGTCATTTCAAGCTTGAGATTTGCAGCTGGCTTTTCCCGCAGTGACTTGGGCTGCGGTGGGATAGCTCGTGCCTGCACCCGGCGTTGGCAGCGGCGCCGCCTGGTAGGGACCCGCCGTACAGCTCCCGTGGCCGGTCCACCCGGAGCACCCGCGCTCAGCGCCTCGCCCTGCCTGTGACAGCCGGGACGCCCCGCAGCCGGCCGGGCGGCGCAGAGCAGGAAGCCGCTTGTCCCCGGACCCTCCGCACTAGGCAGTACTGGGGTTACCTGCCCACAATGACAGCCCGGCCGGCCGGCCCGTCCCGCGGGGGGTCCATGGCATGAGCCCAGCCCGGCCCGTCCCGTCCCGCAGCCTCCGCCTAGCCGGGATCCTCACTCCCCACGCCCCGCCGCGGGGCTGTCACAGCCGCGCTCATTGGCTCCCGCTACACGCGTTCCTATTGGCTGCCTCGAATCAGCTGCGCCTATGGAGCGCCGGGGCTCAGGGCGTCTTTGGCCTGACTGAATGAAAGAGGCGCGGGCGGGCGCAACAACCAAGCCCGGCTGCCAGGGCGGAGACGCGCCGAGCTGCGTGCGGAAGGGCAACGCACGTACACTCGCTCCCGCCCGGTGCTCTGCTGTCTCCTGCAGCAAGGGAGCAGGCAACCATAAAGCCACCGAGCTCCTTCGCTCGCACTTGCGGGCCCATGTTAGCAGCAGGCGGGATGGGGCTGGCCCTGCCCAGGGCTCCCGGTGGTGGGGGGCTGTTGTGTGCGGCCCTGCCTGCTGCTCCCCCGGCATCCAGGGCTGAGTGGTGCCTGCCGTCGGGCCCTGAGCTCTTCCCAGGAGCTGGGCCTGAGGCTTAGGCTACTGTTCCACAAAGCAACAGAGATTGAATCGTGCTTAGTGTCTTCCCTACAGGAGGGGCAGCCTCCCCGCCCAGGCTATTGGCACGCAAGATCGGATGGAGGGTGTTAGGCCTGTTAGCGTCAAGTCCTGTTAGCGTAGCGTCCACAAAGGGGGCTGTCTCCTTACCAAAGTGTTACAGCACTCAATAAGTCATGTCTGAAAACACAACAAAAAGAGCCACTGCTTTACAGGCTCCAGGCATCCTTCCTTGGGCTCAAGGGCCCCCTCAGAAAACACCAGCTCTTAGTTTTTACTCAGTTTTTGATTATCAAAAAATAACTCAGATTGTTTCTGTTACAAAGACCTCAGATCCTCCAAAGGTTGCCATGAGGTGAGGAGATAAGTTTGATGTAAGGAGATAAGCTCAGGCTCAGGTTTGTCACTGCTTGGCTGATCCCCAACTCCCAGTGCCCCGCTTCGGGTTGCCAGCTCTGTCTGGATCTATTCCAGGAAGTTTCATCACATGATGTAATGACATGACTGATCTACTGTACTGTACTCAGGAAGGCAAATGTACATTACTGTTACATTTTAAAAACCCACTAGACTACTGTATACATTGGATTCTACATTTCATAGTTATTTTAATGAATGTCCTAGCATTTATCTCCCAGGTGACTCTCAGCAGTCTCCTGGAGATTTTATCTAATTCCTGGAGACACCTGGGAAATCACGGAGGGTTGGCAACCCTAGCTCCACTCTGCAAGGAGCTAAGCACAGCAACATACAAATTAGTTTTTGAAATGGGGTGCTACTCAATTCACAGTTGTGGAGGGGCACCTTGAGTCCAAGAAAGGATGAAAACCACTGTTGTAAGGCGTTGTCCTGCCCACCTTCTGCCAAAAATAAGACTGGCAGGTCCTTTGATCAGAAAGAAGCGCTGCCAACTGGCAAACCATCTTTCTAACTGAACCATTTGTCCTAAACCTGAATAGGGACATGCTTTGACAGCAGTTGCATAATAAAATCCACTTTCACAATTTATTCCACGTATTTGCATTGAGTGGAAGGCATTACTGGTTTAGAAAAATAGCTTCCACTAAAACACATTAAAAAGAATGGAAAGATGTTGACCCTAGGTTTTCTAAAAACTTATCTTTAAAAAATGCAACATTTGTGGCAAATCGGGCTTGACAATCTTTGTTTAATCTCTTTGACTGGCTTAGAAGTGTTCTTGCTGTTTCTATATTATTGTGCATTGACCCTATGCAGTTCCTACTTGTCTGCATTGTCTTGTAGTCTTATGTTCAATTTCCTAAAAAGAGGAAGAAAGGGTTAATATTTTAAAACGCCCACTTGCTATCAGTATTAGCATTATAGTTCAAAAGACACTGGCATTCTAAACTTTTTTGCACAAGTTAATATTCATTTAAAATATTGAAAATTGAAACCCAAATTAATGTGGTATCCTCTTTATACAGTCATATGAAAGTTTGTTGGGCCATTTCTAATTGTCCTAACAAAAAACATCTTCTAAGTTTGTTTCAGATATTACTCTGCTAAAGATTCATTAAGACCTGCATGGTTTCTGAACATTGCTTATTGTGACTTTATGATTACAGAAAGTAAATAACAAGCTATACAAAGTCTAAGCAGCAAGGACAGTCATTCTGGTGTCATTTTGATCATTTTTTAACCCAAATTAAAAATATTATGTAACATAACTAGATTCTGTGTTTCAGATGTCCACTGGGCTTGGGAGATGAAGTCTGAGAGGTAGCTCCACCATATCTAATGTACCCCATTGGTATAATGTTAAGATTTATCTTCTGAATATTAATATAAGGCATGTGGGATTAATTATAGAATCATAGAAAATTAGGGTTGCATGGGACCTCACAAGGTCATCTAGCCCAACCACCTGCTCAAAGCAGAACCATCCCCAACTAGATCATCCCAGCCAAAGCTTTGTCCAGCTGGCTCTTCAAAAGCTCCAAGGATGGAGATTGCACCACCTCTCTAGATAACCTCTTCCAGTGCTTAACTACTCTCCTAGTGAAAAAATTCTTCCTAATATGTAACCTAAACTTCCCTTGCTGCAACTTGAGACCATTGCTCCTTGTTCTGTTATCTGCCACCACTGAGAACAGTCCAGCTCTATCCTCTTTTGAACCCCCCTTCAGGTAGTTGGAGCCTGCTACTAAATCCCTCTCAGTTTTCTCTTCTCTAAATAAGACCAGTTCTCTCAGCCTGTCCTCATAAATCATGTCCCCCAGCCCCCTCACCATTTTTGTTGCCCTCTGCTGAACTCTCTCCAAGTTATCCACATCCTTTCTGTAGTGGAGGGCCCAAAACTGAACACAGTACTCTAGATGTGGCCTCACCAGTGCTGAATAGAGGAAAATAATCACTTTCCTGAACCTACTAGCAACACACCTACCTATGCAGCCTAGTATGCTATCAGCTTTCTTGGCAACAAGGGCACACTGCTGGCTTATATTCAACTAATTGTCCACTGTAACCCCTAGATTCTTTTCTGCCCAGCCAGCCAGCCCCAAGCCTGTACTGGTGCATGGGATTGTTCTGTCCTATGTGCAGGACTTTGCACTTCTCCTTGTTGAACCTGATGAGCATGGGCAACTGGTGCCTCCTGAGTCTGGGGGGGCACCAGATAGGCAATGGCAGAAGGGTCCTCCCAGTGGCCAATTGCCCAGCCAGCGGTGAAACTGGAAGCGCACTTCCACCAGCACTACCAG